ACAGATCAGGGAAACAGAGTATTGATCCAAGAGGCAAATAAGGGGAATACATTAGCGTTTCATGGATCAGAGCAGCTGCTTACAATGCAGTGATAATGGATATTGACTTAAACTTCTAACAATGTGGTCACATGATTCTGATATTACTGCTGATCTGCTGTAAGCTACGTAGCTAACCTAATCATTTCAAATGCGTTTGCCCTCGTCAGCCACCGTACTAAACTCGCCAAAAGTCAAAAGAACATTCTTACCTTGATCTCATGGTGATCTAATTTAACTTTCATAAACGTTTGATTGAGGCGAAAGTTGCTCTATTTTTAATATGTGATTTATTGTCTTAAAAGTTGAATTTTTTAACAGTTTATCTTTTGCCTGTACAGTGGAGAGTTTTGACATAGAGAGGTCACTGGAGAATGACTGCAAAACAAAATATGTTCAAAATAGTACAAAACCTTTACAACTAAATAAATTAAGCATGGGGATATTTGCCCACAATTTATTTCATTTGAAAAACCCAGCTGGACAGACCATTAAATTAAATTGGAATAATTTTGTACACTGTAAAAAGTGATGCTAGCACTCCATTTGAAATACTTAGATAAAGGTTTGTGGACACTGCAAAAAATGGTCATATTAAAAAGTAATTTTATTCAAATTTTTTATACCAAAATGTTGGATCATTCTTCAATGTTAAAATTTAGTTTCAATTTTGGGGATAAAGTTTTGGTCGAGAAATGTAACAAAACCAATAATTCAGATTTTTTTACATGAAAATACAATACGTATTTAGAGAAACTAATATTTGAGGATTTAGTCATAACATATATAAAAGATGACTTGATAAAATGGAGACCAAATGTGTTTTGAATTCCTGAGAAGATTGACTTCCAGTTTATGTAAGGAGTAAATATTTGTATGTAATTAACTGTCTTTTGCTAGCATCAGTTTTTCCCAGTGTCTCTTTGTGTCTTGGAAGACAATTTATTCAGTTTTTAACAATTTCACAAAATATTAGATTGTTAAAGTTAACAGTATTTGCCGTGTAAATACAAATAAACCAGTGCTGTTATTTCCAGGGATGTTGTCTAACTGAAACAGGGCTACACATTTAGAAAGAAAGCAGTAAAAGAAATGAAAGAAATGCAACAGTTTTCTGTAGATGGGACTTAGTGTGCAAGGCAACAAAAACACTGGTGTTTAAATCATCTTCCTAAACTTCAACAAAACCATGAAAATAAATAAAGACACGAGAAGAGAAACATTATACAACCTTTACATTTCTGTGCAGCTGAAATCATGGGAAGTCTGAATTGAGAGAATGAGCCTGAACGCATCACGAAGCTACAAAACAGCATTTTTACAAAAGCAAGACTGTGCTGTGTGCTAGCTTAAAAACAAATCACTACCGAAAAGGAAACTCACATTCATAAATCCTGTGTGGTGAGATGGAGTGGCACTGAAACACTAAATACAGAATGACGGTGTCGAGTCATTTCTCGCTTCAGAGGCACGATGAATGGATGTCTACAGGGATATATCATCATCTAGGCTATGTGGTGACAATTTGTGTCCGCATCGCAAGATAATCTATTTGTGTAATATATCATTAAATGGGCTTCCGTAGAAGAAGGAATAGTAATTGTAATACAATAAGATAAATAGGTAATAATAAACTAAGTGTTTGGTTCACCTTGTTCATTCACAACCGGAAGCTGCTTCCACACCAGGCTTTAATAGGAGCTGCAAGTGAAGAGAAGCGCTTGTTTTAACCTGCTTGGAGCACCAGGCGGGTGGAGTTAGCAACTCAAGGACAATTAAGATAAAGTCAGGTACATTTATGTTATGAACTAGAGAAGTTTATTGGTACTTCACTGGCTGAAGTGTCCTGTTAAAATCCTTTAACTTGACAAACTATGTAGTTTCTCTTGCTGTACTCAAGGTATGTTAACCTGCAAGTAACCACAATCAAAAAAGGATTACAAACAAACTTTTAGCCAGTTAAAACTTAGCTTAGCATAGATTTGTGGCTAGTTAAACAAAACAAAAAAGCATTATATTTTAGAGCCTAAAATGTTTGTGGTACCAGCATGTTTAATTCTGCTGTGAAGCCTCAAGTGGTCAAACGTGGAACTGCACTTTATGGCAATTCCATTTTGGCTTCATTTTCTAGCACCAGAGGTCAACGCTTAATCAGTTTTAGCAGATATGGTGGTGCAGGGGTGATGTTTTTTTTGGAAGTTAGGAAAACAAGGACTCCCTGGACAAAAAGCTAATGGGATTTTTTCATTGGATTTTGGATTATTGCCAAAAATAAGCGTTTGAGGCTTCCTGTTGCACTCCAAGCAGTTCAAAGTACTTCCTGTTGAAGCCCGCTGTGGACAACCCTCTGTAAGATTCTCCTGACTCTGAAGGTGCTTTAGCATGCTATAACTGTGTAATAATCCATGTGTGTATATATAGTTGGTTGTCCAATATTACAGTTTAATTGTGGCCCTAAATCTAAAGTAGTAAATGCTGTTAGGCCTATATGTGATCTTCTGTAAAACCTTTTTTCTTGCGTCTGTAGCATCAGAAACGTTGTGCCTTTCAGGTTTTCGAGTATTTGTCGTTGCTTACAGTTTGTGTTCAGAACTGGACATTCGAGATGCTCGAAGTGCAGCAATGGACGATACAGTAATTTGTGTATTGTTGAGAAATTTAAATAAAAAAGCTATGTAATGTTCAAAAGTGTTGTTTGGGAGTAAAAAAGGTAAATTCGGATTTGTTTACACATTTTCTGCCAATTTACCAACAGATTTGTTCATATTTCTACGTTTATCACTAATTGTTTTTATATATTGAGGGATGAGAGATGCTAAGGCAAGTTTTACACTGGCTCATGAAAACATTTATTGCAACCAGATTAGAGTGATTTGTAGATAAATATTCGTACCTAACATCATAAGAACTTTACCTAGAATGAGTATACTGCAAATTAGCGTCAACAACTTGTACTCAAAACAAAGTTAATCTCCACATATGTATTTGACCAATTTCAGACATATTGTGGGCAGTTAGACTTTAACAAAGATTGCCTCTGTGATCATTGAACATCTCCAGATGCAATGATGCCAATAGGGTTTTAAAGATTAAAATGTAGGTGTCAAACTCTGGTCCTTTGTACGAAGCCAAGATTAAACTTTTTTCAAATTTCTGATCCTGATTCTACATTTCTTTAATGGTTGGATCAACAGGTAGATCTTTTTGAAGACGCTCAGCAACTTTCTGTAAATCAATGACGTACGGGTGGTTCATATCCCTGAATCCACGTGCCAACAAAGCAGCAGAGATTTAGTGTTTCAAATTATGTTGAATCTTTTACTTTTTTTCAACTGGAAAGTTTGTATGCATTAAGTGGTGACATACAACTCAAGAGCACAGTGGTGTGAAAACAAAGTGACGGGATCAGAAACTCAAAACTGATCCTTAAAGTTTTACAGCACAATGTGAGGAAAGCAAAACATTGAGAAACAAGACCGCCAGCAACCAACCAGTGTTTTGTTAATCAAGGCCCTCTCATTCACAACCTATCACACACACACACACACACACACACACACACACACACACACACACACATACACACACACACACACACACACACACACACACACG